TGCTTTCACCAGTGGACGAGACCGACAATAGTTGGCAAACCGGCCTTTGCTTGGTGACATTTTGAAGGACGTCTAATAAATTGACCGATCCCAAGCGTTGTCTGTTTGTTGGCGATTCTCTGACGCACGATGTACGCTTCGGTCTGAATTGTGGCTTCCAAACCTTGCTCGTATTGAGCGGCAGCACACCCATAGATGAAATGGGCAAGCAAGTGCGGAGACCAAACCTCATTTTATGCGGATAGCATGGCCGATTTTATTGAATTATATGCTAATATAAATAAAAAAGCTTAGTAATTTAATTTTTGTATTACAATTATTATTATTGTTAGATAATATTGCGCGATTAAAAAAAATTATATTAACTTGAAATATTTCAGCGGATGTTTCGAAAAGTTACTGTTAAAAATTTTTTTGTGAAATAATATTTACGCAATGTGAAAATATACCATGTGATCTAAATTTTCCGAACTGTTTCATATAAACTTCGTCCGAAAACTTAACCGATAAATATTTCGGTTAATGCTTTTGGTTTTGAAGCATGTCAATGCTTGGCTCGTACCAAAAGATCTGAGTCTTTTGCAAAACCGACGTCGATTATCTATTAATGACGACTACGTTTTTTTGATTTTATACCGTACATAGATAGTCTTTTTTTCTGATAATTTGTTTTTCTGACGAAAATTTATAAAGTCTGATCAATTTATCCCAGGCCATCTGTATATAAAAATACAGTCCGAGTTGTGAGCACACTCCTTGTCAGAACCAGACGGCTTTCTTTATAACACATTTATGCGCCTTTGGAAAGCATTCCTTTTCAAAAATTCTTATCACCAAGTGTAGACAAGTGCTCTCCTAACAAAAAAGTCACATCTGATGCAACAGTAAAAATTATATGGATAACTCAAAACTCATTGCTTTTATATCTCTCTTTGATTATGCGACAGATAGTTGCTTGTCTCTCTCCAAGGTTTGTTGCATAGAACACAGTTAAAGAGAGTAAAATATTATTGCCTAACACATCTAAATAGATATCACTATATTTTTAGCGAGTATATAGATTCAGAAAAAATTTCTTTTACTGAAAAACATTACTTTAGTTTTAAATTCTTATTATATCTACTACACATAATTATAATTTTTTTATGTTTCTTAGAAAATATCTAAAATAAGAAATTTCTTCTAACAGTATTATTATTTATTTTGTTGAATAGTGTTGAGCCTCTGCTACTTTGGAAATTAAATTCAGCATTCACTATAAAGCTTCAAACAGTCACCGACGAAAAACTGTAGACCGAATCAGCTGAGACGATAAAAACGAGTGAGCTGAGAGTAGATCTAACAGCTGTTTTAGCTTTTAAATTTATATTAAATATTTCTATTCCCCTGCAATTTTCAATGAATGACTCAATTCACTTTTATGCAGAGCGATATTTAAGGATATATGGTATATCTCGTTTAAGAACATCAGCAAATTGTGTTTTTTAATTAGATATTTTTGACAAAATCTAAGAAAAAACATGAGGGAATCATATCTAGGCCACAATTAAACGATGTTTCAACTGAATTAAATAAAGCAACCCATTTTCTTTGGAACTAGTTGTAGCAATCATGCCGAACATGATTAAAAAGTAAAATTTTTCTTTGCGTCAGAAATATATATTTTTTGTTGAGCAGTGTTACTAATAAACTCTCAGCTCTAATGAGCATAAAGAACTAATCAAAAATATGAATATATACATATGTACATATGAAGCAAATGCCTTCGAGTATATTATAAATAAATTGAGTTGCGCAAAGAATAGTTTAGTGAGAATTTGTCTGTGAGACCGGTGAGTGGATCGTTGCACGATTATGTCTGCCCGCAAAGTACCGCATATTTTAAAGCTCTCCGCGCAGGAGCAGAAGGAGTTCGTCAACTCCTTCGATGTGGTGATGTGTGATTGTGATGGTGTTATGTGGCTGGTTTCTTCTTCGCTGCCCAAGACAGGTGAATCGGTGAATACGCTGAAGGCGGCTGGCAAACAGGTGTTCTTTGTGTCCAATAACAGTGTGCGCATGGATGAAGATTATGTGAATAAGTTCACCGGGATCGGAGTGAAAGATATTCAAGCGGTAAATAGTACTGTTTTTGTTTTGTATTTTTGTGTGAGATAGATCGTCCTACAGTGCGTATACTAAATATGTGCTGTGGGCGTTAAAAAGAATGTCGAACAGAGCTGATCTAGTTGAAAAACTTTTTTGGTGAAAACGTGAATATGTTTTTTAATAAATTGTTTATTTCTTTACTTCAACTAGAACGACATCATGCATCCAGTAAAGTCCATGTTGTACTATATGAAGAAGCATAATATAAAGAAGCCAGTTTTTTCATTATGCAGTGGCCCCGGTAATGAAACGCTACGTCGTGGAGGCGTAGATGTGAGGACTTTGGTATGTATTATTAATATTCATTCAAAAGAATTGAACTATGCTCTGTCTCTGCTCAAAAACCATCACTCATATAGATAAAGAAAATGGTCGATCTATATATCTAAACCTAAAAATAGTTTGCTTATCAAGTTCACTGTCTGCTGTTGAGACTTAAAGACTTCGTTAAGATTTATATCTTTGGATATTTAATCTCTCTCTGTCATCACATTTTCGGCACCGAATTGAGATTTGTCTTACTGCGCTTTTACCTCAACTTAATCAAAATGTAAATACCACACATTGCTAATAGTGCTCTCGTCAGAATTTCACTAATTCGCGTAAATCTACATACTATAATGTACATTTGTATGTCTGTACTTATAGAGCACTAGTGTTTTCCGAGTGGAATAATGCCAAGTCATGAATATGAGATACTTATGGCGCTACACTGTATTCATAATTAATAAAAACACAAATGTGTATATATGTATCATATGTGTAAACAAATAAATTTTTAATAGGGAAATAACCCGCTAGTAAATTTTTGATGTAGAACAAATCGGTTTCTATCTGAAACTTATTACTACCATGCTTATATCTTTGGGTCGTTCCGAAAATATAAGCTTGAAAGAGTTTAAAATATTTGACACATGAGCCAAGTTGTCAGACTCAGGCTAGTGTCCAGTTAAACACTGTTAATTCAAACTCTACATATAAGCTTTCGAAGTCACATAAATATATAGATTTAATGAGTTTCATATAATTCCACCACCATCCATACGTATTAAACACTCCCTTGACATATTCTTGACTTACCTGAATTAAAGAAAATAAAAATTCCGAGGCATTTTTAAATTATTATCTTAATTTGTATAATTTTTGTCTCATTTCCTTTTATAAGGTCACTAAGGAGGACGTTGAATTATCTACTTTGGAAAAAGTTACAAGACCGGAACAAAAAATGGGTGCTGTTTTGCTAGATATTAATTTGAATTTAACTTATCCGCAATTGGCAGCGGCCACACGATATCTCGCGGATAAAGATTGCCAGTTTATTACGGGTGGTACAGATTGGTTATTACCGATAACGAAGGATCTAACTTTACCAGGTATTTTTCGCACTCGCAAACGCATACATAGGTATAACGACACGTTACTTAACCGATTTAATCTGTTTGTCTTTAGGATTTTGCGATTTCCTCGACACTCTTAAGCGATTCACAGGACGAGAGCCGACTATAGTAAGCAAACCGGCAGTTTTGCTTGGTGAAATTTTGAAGGATGTCTATAAATTGACCGATCCCAAGCGTTGTCTGTTTGTTGGCGATTCTCTGACGCACGATGTACGCTTCGGTCTGAATTGTGGCTTTAAAACACTACTCGTATTGAGCGGCAGCACACCCATAGATGAAATGTGGCAAGCAAGTGCGGAGGACCAACCTCATTTTTATACGGATAGCATAGCCGATTTTATTGAATTATATGCTAATATAAGTAAAAATGCTTAAGAATTGATTTTGTATGTACCATATATCGTGTGTTCCCTCTGAATTAAATTTCAAATGTATCTATCCTATATACGTACATATATAGGTTTTAAGTTATTCCGTTATTCAAGGCAAGGACAAATTCAAAAAATTAAAGATAAAACTCGATCCAATCGTTCTTGAATTATAAATTGTGTAACTATCCGAAACTAACTTTTTATATCTAACTCTATAACTATATTCGTGCGTAACTTAATTATTATTCCATTGTTCCAATATTCCGAAAATGCCTTGGAATACTACTGTCTTTATTCGTCTTTCACAGTGTATGTCATTCATTTGAAGCGTAAACAACAAGCATTTTTTTCACCCAAATATGTCGAACTACTTACCTGTAAAAGATTTTTTGCGAGAAGTTCTTCCTCATTACTTTAATATCAAGAAAAGCTCGCAGAATCTTCGGAAGTCACCATAGGAGCCATTTCAAAACGTTCAAAAGCAACCGGGTATTTTCATAAGCAAAGAAATTGAGTGTTATATGAATTGAAGCCAAGAGACGTTGAAAGAGGATTTTGCTTGTCACTACAGAAAACAGTCGTTTTTGCATCGGTTTGTGACTGGTGATGAAAAATAGATCCATTACAACCCTAAACGCAAAAAATCATACGTGAAATCTGGACAACCCGCCAAATCAACGGCAAACCCGAATATCTATGACGCCACGGTAATGCTCTGTATTTGGCGGCATTAGAAGGGTGTGCCTTATTCTGATCTTCTAAAACAGGGTGACACATTATGGGGCACGCTACTGACAACAACTCATCAAATTGAATTGAACGATTACCGAAAAACGCAATAAATTCGCGACTAGCCATGAGGCAATAATTTTTCATGGAATATGGTTCATAACAAATCAGGGTATCGAAAATTGGCTTGCTTAAACCCACAAATCATTCGCCCATTGATCTATAGCACCCCACATAGTTTATTTTGTAATTAACGACGCTGTTCGTTCCGAAGATTTTTGGAGACTTCAAATTTGTGTGAGGTATTCGAGAGGTCATAGCCTCCAACTCTGACCACAAACTGTAGTCCACAGAATTAAAATCTGAACTTCTAGACGCAGGGCCCGCTCAGGGGAAAGATCATTTTCGCCGCCCTTTACTAACACTAAGCGATATAAGTCATGAGATAGTTTTGTTGGGGGATGCTAAGTATACAAGTACCTACATAAAATACGTGATATTTTTGGGACTATATCTAACTATAATATTCACCTCAGTCTATTGGGCCTTCTGAGTGTTTTTATGTTAGTAAATTATTTGCGAATATGACGAAAACTTGTCTCTAGGGCAGAACATTTTTACTTGGAGTGTTTTCAATAAGTTATGGAAAATTAGTAGAATCTTTTGTTTATATATGATATTTAAAAAATGTCGCGTTCTAGCTGAAGGGTATTCCTCCGAAAGTTTGAGGGAAATTCCCGTCAAACATAAAATAGACTGAAAGTTGCCAGTTTAGAAATGTAAAATCAGCAGAAAATTCGGATGATTTTTTTTTGTATCATAGTTTCTACGTTCTAGTCTAGTTGGTGCCTTATTTCCTATTTAGGTATTTCTTCTTCTTAGTGTTCCACAACATTTCGAAAGTATCGATACTTTACTCGATACCAGTGCCGTATCAGATTTATCGGTACCAAAGGAACGATACTAAACTATCGACATTGATAGGTATCAAGTACTTTTCAGTTTATTTTTAAAACGTCCGATTGAGTAATATTCGTAATATCAAATATTATCCGAGAAATTTCGGAACTTGGATTTTAGAACTTATCACTGAGACACTTCTTAATAATGGTATCAAACTAACTAAATTTCAATTTCGACGTATTAAATTGTCGGTACAAAAATAAATTAGCGCAACAGTAAAAAAGTAAATCAGGATTAAACCGTATTAAATCATTCTTTACTTAATTGATAAAAATAAATCTACTTAATAGGAAAATAGGTACCAATCACGAGAAACTGGCAACACACACTCTAAACATAAGCTATTGTCTATATAAAAGTGTAATCCCCTACGACCCAAATCTAATGATATGACTGAAATTTTGTTAAAAGTATCGATACCTCAAAAATATCGAACCAAAGGTTGAAAGATAGGAATAAGTAAATTTTGCCGCCCCTCATTTTTTGGGCAAATGCCCGGCTTGCACCTCCTTAGATCGGGGCCCTGTCCAGACGGAATCTACTTCTTCAACAGTGACAAATTTTTCATTCGTAAAATTGATAGCTTCATGGCTTCAAGCGCGTTGTCAGAAGAGGACCATTGTACCGACGGTAGACTTTCATGTAGAGTTAAATTCACGTCATCAACTGTAGACGTTTGCAAAAAACGATCAAAAATGCAGTAAACAAACATTCTCGAAATATTAAGTTTTATAAGAATTTCATAAATTTCACTTGCGCTTTTTCCCACCTTTGTAAAGCAATCACCGCCATTAGAATTTATTTAAATCTCCACTCCATTGTTAATAAGCTTAAGCAAACACTGAACTTATTATTATATATGAGTTGACACTTCAAACAAATTATAATAAAATATAACGGAATTTCAACACATGCTTTAGTTATAAAATAAATTTTTTTTTATTTGTGAATTGTTTTCACGTTTAACATAATTAAGATATACGTACATATGTATGTAAACTATTCTATATTTTAAGTGAAGTCACTCTCAAAATGTTTGCTTCAAGAATCTTTTCAGTGATGTCTGTTGTATCGTTTGCCCAGTATCTGGCAAAGTAGACGCAATGCCTGGCAACTCAACTGTCAATGCAGTTTTCTATTATCACCATATCTCTTGCAGTTTATATTACCGGTTTTAACTTTAAACATAACGGTGTCTACTTAATCCTTTGTTATATGATAAACAAATAAATTGCAATACAAAAATTTCGCGACTGTAAATTAAGATATATACGAGTATATGACTATCCAATTGTTTTAATTGGATCACACTGGACACAATGGGCAAATTTTTTTTTTAAATTTATGATAATTCACATATTGACCGATATTAACCAGATTAACGAAAATGATTATAACATCTGATGAAATATGACCCGGACTGCGAAAAAATATAAATTTTCGAATTTCCAAATTTAATACAAATAATTATTTTCGGCTTTAAAATTGGCCTGAACCAATACAAACATGTCAACGCTTAATACAATTTACCCTACATTTGCTATACGCTTTGTTTGCGTTGACTTTCAGTGCTTTTGTTGTTAATAATGATGGGTTTGATGAGTGTAGGGTCTTCAGTAACGTTGTCAAGCATCTTTATTCGTAGTCGTTTTTGTAAAATATTCCGGTCTTTTGGCACGAGTCTAGCATTAACACGCTGCACACCCAAAATATTAACCAAATTGAGACAATTCATAAGATATTATAAGAACCTCTGCTGTCTCTTGATGTCAACACCACAAGTTTCAAGCACTGTTTCTGTAACTTGCTTTTTAACGTCATTAACAGAGATGAATGGATGGAATGATCATATTTTGACCATAATAAAACGATATTTTAATTGAATTAAATGAAGTAACACGTATTCTTCGGAAATAGTTGGAATACTAATTAAAGCAACTGAGAAAAGTCGTAGTCAAAAAGTAAAAATTGTCATTGTGTCAAGAAAGAAATATTTTTGTTGAGCAGTGTTTATTAAAAACGCTCAGCTCCAATGACAATAATGATCTAATCAAAGATATGGATTTATCTATACACCGCAAATATTTATAACGCACGTGTGGCAAATTCATTCTTGTATAAATAAACTGAAATGTGCGAAGAATAGTTTAGTGAGAATTTGTCTGTAAGATCGGTGAGTGGATTGTCGCACGATTATGCCTGCCCGCAAAGTACCGCATATTTTGAAGCTCTCCGCGCAGGAGCAGAAGGAGTTCGTCAACTCCTTCGATGTGGTGATGTGTGATTGTGATGGTGTTATGTGGCTGATTTCTTCTTCGCTGCCCAAGACAGGTGAAGCGGTGAATACGCTGAAGGCGGCTGGCAAACAGGTGTTCTTTGTGTCCAATAACAGTGTGCGCGTGGATGAAGATTATGTGAATAAGTTCACCGGGATCGGAGTGAAGGATTTTCAAGCGGTAAATAGTACTGTTTTTGTTTTGTATTTTTGTGTGAGATAGATCGTCCTACTGTGCGTATACTAAACACGTGCTGTGGGTATTAAAAAATAATGTCGAAAAGAAAGTCATCTAGTTGGAAAACTTCTTTGGTGGAAACGTGAATATGTTTGCTAATAAATTGTTTATTTCTTTACTTCAACTAGAACGACATTATGCATCCTGAAAAGTCCATGTTGTACTATATGAAGAAGCATAACATAAAGCAGCCGGTTTTCTCATTATGCGGTGGCCCCGGTAATGAAACGCTACGTCGTGGAGGCATAGATGTGAGGACTTTGGTATGTATTATAAATATTCATTCAGCAGCATTGAATAAAATGTAGTATTAATACATTTATGAAATATAAAAAACCGATTTCCATCTGAAACTCATTACTAGCATTTGTTCCGAAAATATAATCTTGAAAGATTTCAAATTACTTATGTAGACTATACGAGGCATCTGCCTCGATCCAGTCCATTTACATAAAAGTCAGATTGTCGGACTCAGATTAGGGTTTGGCTGTCTTGTAGTATTCCCTGAAACTCCTGCCACTTTGTTACACAATTAGTTGCCAGAAAGTATATTATTAGGAAGTATTTTTATTTGAGGTTTATTTTCTCAAATTTGTTTGAAAAGTACCAAACTATATGTACACAAGCTTTCGAAGTCACAGAAGTGTAGTATGCAGTATGTATGGACTTAATGATTAACTTATTAAGCCTTTCCTTAACATATTCTTACTCAAACCCAATTTAAGAAAATAAAAATTATGAGACTTTTTTAAATTATTATTTTAATTTGTATAACTTTCGTCTCTTTTTCATTTATAAGGTCACTAAGGAAGTCGTTGAATTATCTACTTTGGAAAAAGTTACAAGACCGGAACAAAAAATGGGCGCAGTTTTGTTTGATAATAATTTGAATTTAACTTATGCACAAATGGCAGCGGCCACACGATATCTCGCGGATAAAGATTGCGAGTTTATTGCCGGTGGTACAGATTGGCTAGTACCGATAACGAAAGATCTAACTTTACCAGGTATTTTTCGCACTCGCAAACGCATACATAGGTATAACGACACGTTACTTAACCGATTTAATCTGTTTATCTTTAGGATTTTGCGATTTCCTCGACACTCTTAAGCGATTTACAGGACGAGAGCCGACAATAATTTGCAAACCGGCAGTTTTGCTTGGTGAAATTTTGAAGGACGCCTATAAATTGGGCGATCCCAAGCGTTGTCTGTTTGTTGGCGATTCTCTGACGCACGATGTACGCTTCGGTCTGAATTGTGGCTTCCAAACCTTGCTCGTATTGAGCGGCAGCACACCCATAGATGAAATGTGGCAAGCAAGTGCGAAGGACCAACCTCATTTTTATACGGATAGCATAGCCGATTTTATAGAATTATATACTAATATAAGTAAAAATGCTTAAGAATTAATTTTGTATGTATTTCGTGTGGTTCTTCATTATATTTTTTGTATAGTTTATAAGTTAGTCTGCTATGCAAGGCAGAGATAAATTCAAAAAATTAAAGAGCCTTAAAACTCAATTCAGTCGTTCTTAATTTAAAAATTGTGTAACTACTCGAAACTAACTTTTTTTTGCCAAGAGATGGCGCATTTTCATTAATATTCCATTGTTGTCATATTCCGCACATGCATTGGTAAGCCAGAGAACTTAAAAGTTTGTTCTAAGTTCTCTGGTTTTAAGTTCTCTGGGTAAGCTACGGTCTTTGTGCGTCGGCGTATATAGGAGAGTTTTTTTCACTCCAATCTGTCGAACTTTGTGCTTGAAAAGGTGTTTTTGCGGAGAGTTCTTATTCATTTCTCAAATATGAAGAAAACCTGTGCCGAAAGTCGCATTTCGGTTAAAGTTGAAGATGTTCTGGCTGAGCGAAATTGCCAAAAGTGGTTGGCATGCTTTAAAAGTGATCAAATTTGAGTATTAAGTTAGACCATCTCCGCGATCATCTGGATAAAGTTTCGGATAATTTTATAGTGAGAAACAGATTACTGCTACATAATGTCAGATCACTGTTTTATTGAAATATTATATATGAAATTTATCTCTCTGTTTACTTCGATGCATCATTATTTTTCAAAACGAAACTGACAAATAGGCCAAACCTTGCTCTTTCTGACTATCATTTGTTTTGGTCGATGCAGAACGTCCTCACTGGTATGCGGCTCACATCCGAATAGGGTATCAAAAATTGGATTGATTCATGCTTGGCCGCTAAGCTGGCTCAGTTTTTTATGATGGAATCCACACGTTTTCTTGACTTTTTTTCGGTTTTTTGAAAAATTTATCCAAAACTGCGTCAACTAAAAACACCTACTATGTTTCTGTGAATATTCATGGATGCTAGACCGTTGAGTTTTCCTTGACCTATGGTATGCCGCAAGTTGGTTTCAATCTATTTTAAGTAGAATCACTCTGGACATAGTGTGTTAAATTTAACTAAAATCGGTTCAGTTGTTTAGGCGAAAGCTAAACCAATGAGTTTATCCTTCTGTAGGGTAACGTAGATTCTGACGGTGTCAGTGATAAATGCTGCAACCAGACTATTTTTCCTGTTCCTTTCCTTTCTGTGATGTCTGTTGTATCGTACGCCCAGTATCTGGCAAAGTAGCCGCAATGCCTGGCAACTCAACTGCTTTTTCTATTATCACCGTATCTTTTGCAGTTTATATTACCGGTTTTAACTTTAAATATAATGGAGTTTACTTAATCCAGCAAATAAATTTCCTAACATCCGTCCATAGTAAGATGACGAGATCTTACAGATAATAACCTTTGTTATATGATAAACAAATAAATTGCAATAAAAAAATTTCGCGACCGTAAATTAAGACATATACGAGTATATGACTATTCCATTTTTTTAATTGGATCAAACTGGACACAGAGTGCAGAATTATTTCTTAAATCGGTTCAGTTGTTAAGGAATTTATGACAACCAGATATATATTGGCAAGTAAATAAAACCAGTAAGAAGCGGCTAAGTTCTCGTATAACGGTACATTTAATTTTCTCGCAATTTGTGCGACCCAAAAGCCAGTAAAATATTCTCAGGTTCCGACAAAACTTTACCTAAATTTTGCTTAAGTATTCAACATTATTCGCCGATATTCGGTATGTTACTAACTTATATAAAAGGTCATTGGCTCACATAGTTTTATTAGGACATTTCAATTAGTGTTTGAGACATTTATACTAAAATCGACCTCAAAAGAGATATACTCGTATGTGGTATAAACTCAACGAACAGTGGATAAATTTAATACACTGGGTAACCAGAAGATCCGAAGTCATTATATTAGCTATTTGAGGGTTAGACCAAAATCTAGACCGATTTCATTTATATTTAGCGCTAATTCACATTATCTTTAAGAAGAAAAACATTAACTGTTGAAAGTCATTTCGAAAGTCGGAAATCTTAAAAGATCTGGACTGATTGCATTAACATTAGGCATTAGTCTAGTATACTTGAAAACGTTTCTACACAATTTTATGAAGATAATTCACATATTGACCGATATTAACCAGATTAACGAAAATTATTATAACATCTGATCAAATATGACCCGGACTGCGAAAAAATATAAATTTTCGAATTTCCGAATTTTAATAAAAATAATTGTTTTCGGCTTTAAAATTGGCCTGAGCCAATACAAACAACAATTGTCAACGTTTAATACAATTTTCCCTACATTTGCTATAAGCTTTGTTTGCGTTGACCTCCAGTGCTTTTGTCGTTAATAATGATGGGTTTGATGAGTGTAGGGTCTTCAGTAACGTTGTCAAGCATCTTTTTTGCGATCTTTATTCGTAGTCGTTTTTGTAAAAAATTCTGGTCTTTTGGCACGAGTCTAGCATTAACACGCTTCACACCCAAAATATTAACCAATAACCATAAGATATTATAAGAACCTCTGCTGTCTTTTGATGCCAACACCACGAGTTTCAAGCACTGTTTCTGTAACTTGTTTTTTAACGTCATTAACAGAGATGAATGGATGACTCGCATGAGGCAAGTTTTCGATGANATGAGCCTCTCTAAACTTCCTTGTATTCAGAAAACTTCTTGGGTTATTAGATCCCGAAGTCAAAATTAGTGCTAACTGTGAGCACTACAGGAAATGATTACTGCGTTTTTATACATCACCTCACTATCAATCGTTTTCATATTAGATTAGTTGCAGCAAGACGTAATAAACCATAAACCCAGCACAGCTTTTACTTTACTAACCATAATGATTAGTATCGAGAGATTAATATGATTTTTTTTCACTACATTGGACTAATGTTTTCGAAGTAGGTCTAGTTACTGCTTGACGATGAGAAAAAGTTACGGCTAACTATGCTTAGGGGTTGGAAACTAACATTCGACTTGTATTTTACTGAGATAAAGCCGACTATGTGACAAAAAATTGTGCAAATGTGTAGCGATCAAATAAACTTCGTAAGATGCAGTGCGGTAACTATTTTATATAACAGTTATAGAACTCTAGAAAATACGCTAAAAATTTAATCATAATTATGAGATCATATCAAATTAGCCTCATGTGAACAGAACTGTTAATGACGATAACTTCCAAAATTATGGAAAAATTTTGCTCGAAAATCACTGCTTAAGAGTGGAGAGTTAGCAGAGGTTGTCTCAACATGTCTTATGGGTTATGGTTTAAAGTTTTGGGTAACAAAAATTATAAGCGTAACAATCTGAGTCGATTTAGGCATGTCCGTCTGTCCGTCGGTCTGAACTACTCTCTTAGGTTTTGGTGATATAGGCCTAAAATTTTGCAGACGTTCTACTCACCTCATTTCTTGTAACATTCGGTATCGCACATATATGCTATAGCTACCATAAAAACTGAACAATGAAAATAAAATCGATATAAACTCTGAATAAATTCTTAAGATTGGTACACTATGGCATGTAGCTGACATATAAACTGAACGACCAAAATTATAGTTTTGTGTTGAAATTTTTTTTATTTTACGAGATATCAAGTGCTTTAAACCATATGTAATAATAGGTTTCATTCCGATGTGGGACCAAAGAAATTGTTTAGATCGAACAACTGTAGCGTATAGCTGTCAGACAAACTGACCGATCGAATTAAAGTCTTTGCATGGAAAATTTTTTCATTTCACAAAATCTCTTCACGAAATTTGGCATAGATTTTTTCAAGACAATGCTATAATCTGCAAACATATTGTTTACATCGGACCATACAAACTAACAGCTCAAAATGAAGATAAAGATGTTTATAGATCTTTTTATGCTAAAAAAAAATGCACCTCTGACGATATTATATCTTTGGTGCAGATGAAGTGAATGTTTTTTCTGGTTATAAATAAATATACAAGTTATGAAGAAAATATTGGTTTAAAAAAATAATTTTAAATGATATTAGCATATAATAATGCTATAACCAAAAATAGTCCGAAATTGAGATATGTTTAGAGAGAAGAAACTTCGAAACCAATGTAAAAAGAAAATTCTGAAGGATAAGGAGAGATAATAGAAGTGATTCATATTTTCTGACTCCTCTCCGAAACTTGGGCTAAATTTTTAAAGACTTAGAGATCAAGCTAAGATTCAGATTATTATTTCTTTTTTGTTGACTTTCAATATTAGATTTAGTTATAATTACATAATATATAACAATTTTTGAGAGATGGGCAAATAAAGTATCTATTTACTTACCTGGGTTAAGTAATATTTATCTATAAAAATGTATAGCTTTTACCTGTAAGCGAAAAGAGTGCAAACCAAAGAAACAAATGCGAAAGAAAGGATAATACAACACATTAAACCTCAACTCTTGTTGGTGTACATATTTTATGAGGATTTTATATTTTTATGGATATTTTCATCCAGTACACTTATATACACACATTTATTTTTACAATATATACACACATATTGCATTCTTCTTGCATATACATTTACTTGAAGGTTTGAGGGCAAGTCTACACAGGCGAAGTACTAAGCAGCAGCTAACCTTGCAAGAAGCAGCAGCTATCGGCAGCAAGCAGAAGACCATGCTAATATTGTTGTCAGCGGTGCACAGCGGCATCTAAAGATGGTGCAACTTATTATTGCTATTGTTATTGCAAGGTAGATGCTGTGTTGCATATAAAATTTGCAATAAGCACCGTTGGAATATTAAACAAAAGCATACCAAAGAAAATGCAAACTGCGCGCGGGCGATCAAGGTAAGTTTTGGGCGGGCAGGTGGTTTAAAGGCTGCAGCAGGGGGTGTGACATTGCTGTGGCAAGGTGGCAGGCAGTAGGCGTTAACAGACAACAGTAATGATGTCTTGCAATGTAAAGACACTTATGATGTAGAGGTGTTTGTGTGTGTGAAGGTGTTATTTCCCATTATATTGTTTGCCATTGGCATTGGCAGTATGCGGCATGATTGCTTGAGTGTAATGAAAATCCATAGTGCAGACAATGAAGGTGAATGAGCAGTCCTGCCAGGAAAGCGTTGTGGTTGGCAACAACACGTTGTTGTTATTATTGTTGGCTGCAAT